ACCCTTCTTCCAGTGGCACAATGAATGAGGCATATAACAAATGTCCGCCAAGAGAGCATTTTATCAGTTTGAAATGTCCACCTACAAACATGCCTAGGCTGGGTATGTGTCTATGAATTTTAGGAGATTGTTATTGTGTCCCATAGCTTTTCAATATTTTTTTTTTACAAAGGAAACTAATCTCATAGGTACCCCTAAAATATTCACTCTTAGTATAGACATTGGTGATTGCAGTCAGATCCTCTGCTGGTGTAAATCAGTGTAGCTCCATTGAGGATCTGGCCCAGTGTGTCCAGGGATCATGCTGTGTTTGAGGATTCCATGTACTGCTCAGACATCTTTCTCTTCCTTAGTAAAATCCTCAGCCATGTGTAAATGTCATGTTATAAACGATAGCCTTTCTTGTCATGATGTTAGTGAATAGTCTGTTATCACATTAGTGCCTAGAAATCCCCAGATCAGGATTGAGTCTAGATTGCTAGGCACTTTACAAACACATATGAAGATATGATCCCTGCCCCTAAAAGCTTACAATCGATGAAGGCATGATCCAAACCCAGTGAAGCCAATGTAAAGACACTCCTTGACTTCAGTGGCCTTTGGATCAAGCTTTATGAGATCAGCAGTGTCAGGCCTTGGTCCTGTAAAAACTCATATGAATGTGCTTTCTTTTACATATATTACTACTCCTATTGATTTTAGTGGGACTACTCACATGTTTTCAAGTGTAGCACATGCTCAAATGTTTGCAGGATCAAGGCCTTCACCAAGCAGCTGCTGCTCCTGTCAGCTTCCTTAATAATCAGGATACTTGTTCTGTGTCCAAAGGGAAGTACAGTAATTTTAAGGAGGATACTCTGTACTCTTCATATATATATAAAAAAAAGAGATTGAATCCCTGCTTCAAGTGCAAACTTTAATGCAACCTTAACGATGGAACTTTGAATGACGTTTCCATAATACACTGTGCTGCTAGCTTGAGAATAATATTGTCATTACACAGCCCATGAATGGAACTCCCATTGACATCACTGTTTCTTCTACTGGTTGAGGACAGTAAATGGCCCTCAGTGATAATAGTATCATTGTGTGAGCTGTAATTTTATGATTATTTTTTCTTTCTTGTAGATGAGGTCCCATCAAAATTGATAGGATATCTGCACCATTAATTAAAATAGGACTTTGCCCTCCCTGCTCCCTCTTGTTTTGACTCCCTCTCATACAGAGATGTTTTAAAGAGAGTGATAGATAGAGTTGTTAGCATCCACGATCAGCAATCCCAGGCAGGTAGATCTCTAGAGAGGTGAGGGACCCTGAATCCCATGTCTGTTTATCTCTGGATCTCAGGGGTGTCTCTTCCCTTATTAATATTTTGGTGGAGGAGGGATACTCATGTGTGACTTGACCCTCATTAACATGAGATTTAGAGTTGCCTTCCACTCTTCCCAGCTACAGTCCCTACCAGCTCCAGGGAGCCCTGCAGAGTTTCCTGCTGCCTCACAATCAGAGCTGTTGGGCTACCTCCTGATGCCCACCTCCTGCAGCTGCCCGGAGAAAGCCCCAGAAACGCCTTTTCATACACAACAGCAGGTTAAAAAACTAGGAATAAAAAGTCATGCCCCATTTTCACAGAAGAATTTTCTGGGCGTTTGCCCACCCCTTCCCAACCCCGATTTTGGACATTTGAAATTTTGAAACTGGAATCATTTTGATCAGCTCTGTAGATGCTCCAAAAATGGAGGAAAAATGTGATCAAGCAGGGAGCATTTCCAGTATGGGCCTAATAGCTCACAGGGGATCCTAAACTCCCTAAAATTTGGTTGTGATGTCTCTGTTTGGCAGTTATTAAACCTTACCATCAATTTTCTTCAAAATGCAGGCCAGGAGAAAGGTGAGTTGTAAATGCCCTTCACTGGGACATTTTCAGGAAGTTTAGACTGAATTTAATTATTGTTTTTGAAAATTTTTAGCAAATGTAATAATCAGAAATATTTTAATTTAAAGGGACACAGATTTTTGTTTACATGTAATCATTTCTTTGGAATCAAACATTGCAGCATTGTTATACGGCATGAGTAGATTCTCCAGGACCTTCAGAGAAAAATAGGAAGTCACGGAATCTATTACTCCTGTCCAACTACTGTAGTCTCAAGATACATTCACAGACTCTGTCACACATCCTACACGTTCAGTACTACTTTCAAGCCAGTTTCCAGGATTTGTTGCTCTTTGGATATACTGATTTGGGGGCAGATTTTAAAAGGAGCAGTACTACAGCTGCCATTAAAAACTTTCCTCAGAAGTGTAGAAAATCCTAAAATGATTATCTTTCCTTTAACTTTTTTTTTGGTCAGTAATGTACTGAACAAGTAGTGCATTGCTTCGAATCTTGATTTCTTAGGGCCTGTCTTGGATACTCTTATTCCACAATAAGAATGCCTTTTTCCAATGTAGCTTAATACACTTTGGAAACAGATTAAGCTACATCAGAAAAAGGCGGTTTTATTATAATTATGTAATAGTATCATAGGCGCCGACTCCATGGGTGCTCCGGGGCTGGAGCACCCACGGGGAAAAAATGGTGGGCACTCAGCACATACTGGCAGCCCCCTTATCAGCTCTCCCTCACTCCCCGCATCACCTCCCGCCCACCAGCGGGCCTCACCGATCAGCACCTCCCCCTTCATCCCCGCACCTCCCACCCACCGCAATCAGCTGTTTGGTGGCGTGCTGGGAGGGAGGGAGGGGGAGGAACAGAGGACACACTGCACTCGGGGGAAGGGCGGAACTGGGCAGGAAGAGGTGGGGCGGGGAGTTGGTGGCGGTGCCTGGGGTAGAGCTGGGGGTCGAGCACCCCCACACACTTTTGAAAGTCGGCGCCTGTGAATAGTGTGTTATAACTTATAATAGTGGCCACCCAGGGAGCTATTCCAGAAGAGCTATTGCAGAATAGCTGTTCTGGTCACTATCGCCCCATGTAGACATGCTCTCAGCAACTTAGACTGAAAAACTCGAAAGAGCTGGAATTTTATAAATGATCCATAATAGCAGTAAGTGCTACAGATTTCATGAAAAAATAAACACTGAATTCAGATCTGCAATTCCTTGGAACATATGTCAATGCTGTATACTTTGAAGAAAATTCAAGACATCTATCCAGAATACTTTTTTTGTCTTAATTAATAGGATAGAACAAGAAAAGATGCTTGTGAAGGCAAATAATAAAAGCAAAGTAACATTGATTTCCTCCTCCGTCCTATAGTATTATTGATCTATTTTAACCTAATTGGCACTTCCAAAAATAAATGGAAAAAACACTAGAATCTTAAGAGAGATGCAGGTAACTCTTTGTGATTCAAGTATTTCCGCTCTGTACAGAATGTCCTTTATCCTGCCTGTTAATGACTCTCTCGCCTCCCTGACAACCTGCCGACCTGTGACCCGTTAACAAACTGGCTTTGCTTTTGTTCTCTTTCTCTTTAATCTCAGGCCTCTAATTTTTCCTTGTAATTTAACTGAATAACAGAACTAAAGCTGACCTAATGTATGTGTACAAGGGATGAATCCAAACATGGTCTGAAAAAAAAGCAAGTTTTCAATACTGGCCTCATCTGACATGTAGATAAGTGTGCTTTTTAAAAAAAAATGTACTGCTAATTTAGCAAAAAAGAAATAACATAAGAGTTACTGTAACATAAATGCACCAGAGTTTGCAGGAAACAAAAGAAAATTATTTCTGCTGTTCCCCATTGAATGTGAAAGTTTAATGTGACTTATTTTTAATAAATGACAGTCATGTAAACACATTAATATACGTAAAGTCAATGGATTAAATACTTCCACTATCTAACCGTCCTTAGTTCTTATCCTACAGACACTTTGCATGTGGGTAAATTTAAACACGAGGAGTCCCATAACACACATGCGTAATGTTTGCAGGATTGGGAATTAATAATTACATTTAAGGGCTGACGCTTCAAACACTTACTCCTGTGAGTAGTTGCACTGAAGTATTCCCATGTGCTTCCATGTGAAGTCAGTGGGAGTATCTGCATTTAGTTCAGTGAACTTTAGATCAAGCCCTATGCATTTACAATATCAGATTTAGTCCTGTCCTCACTAGTCCTAATTATCCTCTCATCCTGGTGTAAATCATGTGTAACTTTATTGTTGTCAAAGTTACCCCGGTCTAAAACCAATGTAAGACTAATCAGAATAAGGTCCATTGAATGTGCAAACAGGACTCAGTAGAACAGGGTTGGAGAGGATACACAATTTTCCATGTTAGTTAAAGTAATTTAGTTAGTAAATATAAGAAGCAGACAAACATTTTGATGCTGATTTTTAAAGTGTCCTTAATTTAGCCTCTTTTTTTGGGAGGCTGACAAATAATTGAGGAACAGCTCCTAGAAAAGCTTCTCTATGCATCCGAAGAAGTGAGGTTTTTACCCACGAAAGCTTATGCCCAAATAAATCTGTTAGTCTTTAAGGTGCCACCAGACTCCTTGTTGTTTTTTTAGCTCCTAGAAAGCTATTATTTTTATAGTCAAATGAGGATGGCACTTCCTCATTTGTGGGTACAGTAAGATAGATGTTTATATATCCTCCTTTGGGCCCATAAATTAATGATTCCACTTATTTGCAGGTACCTAACCTGTGTGGGGGCAAGTTTTTAAAATCTGATTATAAATTCTGCCACCAAATAGGCGCATTCAGCTCCCATTGATTTCAAAGGGAATGATATGTGTTGTTCACATTTGGGGATAGAGTTTGGTCCTTGTCATTTGAGCCCTAACCTAGGAAGAGTTATTTTGCATGTGTGTTTGACTATTTAAAGTACATGGCTTAACGTTAACCTCTTTGTTCATATGAACCACCTAGGTATTCTTTTAGAAGGCATGTTTAAAGTAAAGCTACAGATAAGAGACTCTTGCCATAATTATATCTCCATCCTAACATAATGCTGTTGTTTATCCCTATCTACTCTTGTAACAAAACAGAAGTACTCTGCTGTCTCTCTCTGCAACATATCTACAGAGGTCCTAAAAGTCATCAATGCCACAGAGGAACTGATAGCAGAATCCACCGGTCCCTGTGATTTCCCAGCAGATACTCATGACAGAGGGAGAGGGGCATTTCCATTAGGTACAGACCCTATCAGACTCGATGAGCAGCTCACCACCTTGGAAGAAAATGTAAGAGTACGATATCAATGTCAAATATAGCAAATTGTTTTCTTTAGGAAAAAAAAGTGGCATGTGGTATGTTTTGACCTAAGCAATAACATGTTGAGTTTTAGTATTAATTTTCTGCTTTAAAAAGAACAAACTTGTTTTGAAAGGATCATCAGCTATTTTTTATTTTTTTTTTTAATTCAGTTTGGGAAACATTCATAATAATAGGAACAAACTGAACATCTGTTGGGTTTTATAGCGGTGTAAAATTATCTTACTCTAAAAAGAAACTTAATCCCTTAAAGTCAAGTGGTGGCCTGACGTATACAACCTTGGATTGGCTTACTGGGAAGCGAAATACCTCTATGTCCCCGCACAACCGCCTGGGACATCAAGTCATGGTACAAAGAGTAAGCAGGAACCTATGTAGGCAGGCAAGGAGTAAGAGTAGCCTTGACTCCACCTCCACTCCCAACACACCAGTCTGATCTGAGAAGGACCTGGAGTAAGGGGAAATGGACAGCTGTGGCACTCCGGCGCTGCTTTTGGGGTGGTGCAGCTATGTACTGCCCCCATTACATAGAGCAAACTGGAAAACCATAAATTAGTCCTAAAAAATACCAAAAAAGCCATTTCCTCAGAAGAATCAAATTCCTCTGCCCTTTTGAATGAGCAGGTGCTACCCATCGTCACCCAAAGGAAGAATTTAGCTATTTGTAAGTCGTCATTAACTAAATGTTCTGGTGTATCCTGAATGGAATAATAGTTTTTTCATGCCTCTCGATCTTCTCCTAAGTCTGTCTTAGCTGATATTTAAACTACTGTATTTTCTCTTCTTTAGTGATTTTTAAAGTGTAATAGGAATCCCAACTATCCCATTATAACAATTAAAGCAAATAGACACCTGTTTTACTCTGTCTGAAAACCCATAAAGAAAGAAGCTCCTCGCAGTGGGTGAATTCACTTCATCCACATTAGAGTGTAAGTTCTTTGGGGCAGGCACTGTCTTTTTGCTATATTTTCATACAGCACCTAACACAATGGGATCCTGATCCAGGGTTGGGACTCGGTGTCCTGATAATACAAATAATAAAAATAAATCTGGACTAAAAGTTAAATCTGCCACCCACTTTCTGGTCTGGGACCAGGCCATCAGGGCTTTGGTGTTTTACTCCATTCCCCGTAACTGCTATTCTTGCCAATGATCTGAAATAGTGGCTTCCGCCCATTAGCATCACTTGCAAAGGATATTGAGCTCACCAGATCCCATGACCCATTCCCCTGACTGGTTCCCCACCTTGCTGCAACTGCTGCCATCTATGAATATGTGTACACTGCAGTTGGGAGTGAGCTTCGCAGCCTGGGTATACAGATTTGGGTTAGCAGAGCCACGATAGTGCACCAAAATAGCTGTGTGGACATTCCGGCTCAGGCAGAGGTTCTGCAACCCCCTAGGTTTCAGAGCCCAAGCTCCAGTGCGAGCCAGAATGTCCATATTGCTATTATGAGTGCACTAGCTCAAGTTCTACTGGCTCAAGCTGCGCTACCGCAAGTATGAGGCTTGCTTCCAACCACAGTGCAGACATACCCTCATCCTATGTGTTGAGGTTGGCGTGAACCAGGCCCTTGTGTAGTTGCTCCCTCTGTGCAGCCCAACCCTGGAACCTCGGTGGTGTAAAGACCCTCATGTTTGCCTTTCGTGAATTTCCCCCCTACCATACTTCTTAGTTTCAACACATTTGAAAGGGTGCCAGAAAATTAAACTAAACTACAGCATGTGTAACAAAGATGCCTACGTGTCCTTAAATCAGTTTCCTGCCAGTGTCCAATTGATTTTATAGTGCATTAATCAGTGTAATGAAGTAGCAAGTTTAGAGTGTCAGGAAATGTAGATGTTTTAGTCACTTGAAATATTTAATGATTTAAGCCTTAATCCTGCACTGGGATCCTCTAGTGCAGTGCTTCTCAAAGTCGGGCCGCCGCTTGTGCAGGGAAAGCCCCTGCCAGGCCGGGCCTGTTTGTTTACCTGCCGCGTCCGCAGGTTCGGCCGATCGTGGCTCCCACTGGCCGCGGTTCGCCGGTCCAGGCCAATGGGGGCTGCGACCACCAGGGGCTTTCCCTGAACAAGCGGTGGACCAGCTTTGAGAAGCACTGCTCTAGTGGGCTGACCCCTGTGCCTGTGTGGAGCCCTAATGACTGGGAGAATGAGAACAGAGTGAAAACTGAAAGCCAGATTGTCCCAGGTCACAAGAGGCGCCCAAAGAGGAGGCCAGTTTAAAAGATTTCCTCCCCATTCTTTTGCTCCCTACCCACCCACCAAGGAATAAACAGTGACCTCCACCCTTAAATTCCAAGAGGGTCCCCCCTGATCCACATGGGTCTTTGGGATCCATTGGGGCACAGGGCCTTGTGCATTCACATCAGCTGTGGCTTTCCTGCGCTGTGGCAGTACAACCCCAGTCACAGTGCCAGAGCTTGCCCACACTTGCAACACTCCCCAGAATTGCCCTCTAACGGTTCCCCAGCACAGAGTGGCTCCACAGGAGAGGCATACAACCTCAGCCTGATTTCATTTTCCTGCAAAAGCCATGCAGGCTGCAAGGGGGGATGATGCACATTATCCCCACTCTCAGCCTCAGCCCATCCTTTCCCTCTCCACGCAAAATCCTGGCCCATGGAAATCAGTGTCTAAACTTCCATTGGCTTCAATGGGCCAGGTTTTCACACCTCATATATACATGTGCAGACTTGTGAAGAGCCATCTGCAAATCCAGGACTGGTGCCACCAAGTCAGCTGCTCCATCTCCTCAAGTGCAGCTGGGGGCAGATCTGCACACACAGGATTCCCTCTGCACATGATCTGGGCCTGAGAAGAGACTTAACAATTATTGGGAATTATGTGTATGAGTCAAAGGGGAGAAAAAAGAGCACACTTTTCTGCCGGATATGTGCGAATAACCTCACATGTGCTTCAGTGGGAGCTGCACACGCTAACTTATAGCTGAGTTTGGCTCATACATTTAAATTTATAGATAAATAATTTAGTGGGAGATTTTCAAAGGCACAAAGAGGAGTTAGCCCAACTCCTATTGAAAATGAATGGGGTTTGGGTGCTTGTCTACTCTCTGTGACGTTGAAACTCTCCCCATTAGAGCTGACTGGAAAATCTGCAGTGAAATTAAATTTCAACAAAAGTTGAGGGTGGAGGAGTTAGGAAAACTTTGTGAAAAATGTTTTCTATTTTCCAAGCAGTTCTATTTTCCGTAAGCATTTTTTCCTTGTGAAAAATTTAACCAGTTGTACATTGTACTTTGCCAAAACATTTAAATTAATCTTTTCTTCAGCTTTCTGAAGGATTTGCTGATTAAATATTTCCTTTTTCCTCTTTCTCCTCTTGTGAGCTGCATGGATGTATTTAGCAGAAAAGAAGTCAGATATTGATATAGACATACAGTCTCTTTTTAATCTAAAATTACTGTGCAGGAAATGTTGCACCACAAAGAAATTGCTTTGAAATGAAAGAACTTTTTAAAAACCCACTAAAGCATGGAAATTCTTGTTTAAATCAGAATTTTCATCTTTTAGTCATCCTTTTGTGTCTTAAGTGCTTCAGCCAAGATGTCAAGGCAGGCCACTTCTTTGCAGCAAACCACCTTATTAAAGGATTTATCCTCCATGCTAAAACTTGTCATTTTGGAGATTCACATAGTACGAGACAAAGTGTATTAGCTTATCAGCATAGTCACATATGTGTAAAAAAATACAATACAGGTTTATACTCTTAAGACTGTGGTTTTCAACCTGTGGTCCACAGACCCCTGGGGGTCTGCAGACTATGTCTAAGGCAGTGGTCCCCCAACCTTTTTTGTCTGGCGGGCGCCAGATGACGAGCCACGGAGGACCGTGGCGGCGGACGAGCATCCGCCGAAATGCCACCGACAAGCGGCGACGTCAATAGGTGTCGGCGCCGAAATGCCACCGACAAGCAGCAGCATCCAGAGGCGTTGCCGCCAAAATGCCTCCGAAAATCTGGATGACGCTGCATTTCGGCACATGCTCGTCCCCTGGCCAGTACGCAGGCACACTTTAGACCCCCCAGCGGGCACCGCGTTGGGGACCCCTGGTCTAAGGGGGCCATGAAAGGTTGTCGTTACCATAGAATAATGGTTTTCAACCTGTGGTCTGTGGACCTCCGCTGTCCACAGACTATGTCTAAGTTTTCCAAAGGGGTCCGCACCTCCATTTGAAATGTTTTAGGATTCCGCAAATGAAAAAAAGGTTGAAAACCACTGCTCTATAGCAACCAATTCAAGATGTCCCATTTATTTTTATTTTGGGGGTTAAAATGATTTTGATTTAAGGAAAACACAATCTAGTTCAAATAGTTAGGAAATGATAATATCTAATGTAGAGGTTCTCCAGTGCTTTTGGTCCATGATAACCCACAAAAGGGTCCCAAAATTGTATCTCTCTCCTCCCCCCCCCAACTGTATTAAAGGGTTGTGGGATTTGGAACACAGGCTGGTACTGTTGCTGCTGGGTTGGGAGGCTTGTGTGGGGTGTGAGGGAGTGATGCTGCTGTGAGGGGGAGTGTTGTTTCTGCTGGAGGCTCTTCTCCCTGCGTGCGCAGTGCTCAGCTGTGGGACCCAGAAGCCAGCTGCACCGTGTTTTTCCACTTGTGGTGTTTTTGTAACAATGTGATCATTCGGGGGTGCTGAAATACTTGGCAGCATTCTTTAGTTTCCTTCCACTGTTCAGCAACAGTGCTGCTGGGATTGCATGCTGGTTATTTAGGGAATGGGTAGAAGATGCAATATTGTCACGTGGACTGGCAGACACTTAGGCAGAGCACTACGTGGTAGATGCCTGTGTCCTATCAAGAAAACCCAACAGCTAGACAACATACTTTGTTCTCTGAGTAAGGTGAAAGAAAGTAAATAGACCACTATGTATTGTGAATAATCGCTCTGAATAGAAAATAAACTGTATATTAGTGGTTTCTCCCTAGATGAGATTACTGTGCAGGGGAGATTGTTTTAAAAAATAGTTCTAACAGAATTGTAGTGATACATTTATTTATCCCAAACATCTTATAACTAAGGACAAATTATCCATGCCTTTATCTCCCCACGGTCAGACTGCTAATGCACTGTACTTGGGAGTGTCCCTGAGACTCATTTAGAAACTGAAGCTAGTGCAAAATGTGGCAACCTGCTTAGCAAGTGTTGTGTTTCGATAGGAACACGACACCATTGTCCGAGATCTGCACTGCCTGCCTCTTGGTCTCCAGGTATAATGCAAGGTATTAGACTTAAGATATAAAGCTTGACATGAATTGGGACTGGCCTGCTTGAGAATCTTCCCTTCTCCCTTGCCACTGCTGCGGTCAAAAAGGACACTTGATCTGGGACTCCCCATGTTACAGAAGAGAGGGAGCTGCTAACAGAATGCTGTCTGAGAGGGGCCCTTAACTATGGAATTTGCCCCTCCCACTTTATACCCAAATAGCTTAGTTGGTTGACCTTCAAGACACACTGCAAGCCCCATCTATTTGTGAAGGCTTGTGGAGGGGGATGAAAATATGAGTTTTGGATGGTGTGGGATGGTGTATAGTCTGCTGCTTTGATTAATTATCAAGATAATTTATTTTACTGGGTCTAAGTGCTGATATTCTGCTGAGTGATTATTCCTATGTGGAATTTTAATTGTCAGACTGCCTTGACTTTGTGTATAGGCATTTTTATTTTAAAATTAAATATATAGATAATGTTATTTCATAGTAGGGCTGGTTGAAAGTTTTCCATCTAAACTGCTTTTGACAGAAAATTGGGGTTTAAACAAAACTTTTTACTAAATTGTCAATTTGTGCTAAAATTTCAACTTTTTGTCAAAAAAACTGAACACCTGAAAACTAAAATGTTTTCAGTTTTTGGCTGAAAATATTTCCATTTCAAAACACCACTGTAGTGCCTCATGGGAGTTGTAGTTTGGCTGCCTCCTGCCCCCATTCTCCTCTAGGGGCTGGATTCTCCAGCCAGACTACATCTCCCATGATCCACCACAGCCAGGACTTCCGTGGTGCCCCACGGTGGCTTGGCAAATGGGGAAACTGTGTTGCATAATTGGATATGTAGGCAGGCTAGATAGCCTTGCACATAATGAAAAATGGGGTCATGAGGTATCCAAACATACAACTCACAGGAGGCACCATGGAGGCATTTCCAATTCAAAATTTTCATTTTCAGTCTAAAGTTTTCAATTTTTGCTTTGTCACCAAAAAGTTGAAATTTTCCATAGGGGGAAAATAAATTTCCAACCAGATCTATTTCATAACAACTGTGGTGCATGCAGAGATTTTGGGGGTCTGGCTTTCATCTTTTGCTGCTAATAGTCTATGGTCTCTTTGAGTTACACCATGAATAAAAACAAATCTGACTTACTCTGTACCATGATTTGGATCCTTAGGTGTATCTGACAGCAGGCACTGTGTACGGGTTAGAGGGTCAGCTGAATGAATTAGAGGATGCAGCACGCAAAATCAACAGTGTTACAGCGGAATCGGAACTAGCTGATCTGGAGGATCAGGTAGCAACAGCAGCAGCACAGGTTCATCATGCAGAGCTTCAGGTGAGGAAATTTACTACCTTCCTATTTCGAAAGCCAATACAGTATTGTACTGTCGTGCTTAGCCCTTATATATTACTATTTCACTTATTCAAGCTTATCATCACTGTTATACAGATTCTGTCTGTACCCACATGGATTAATTAGCTGGACTTCATTTTTAATAATCCAAAAATATGTATCCATATAACAGCAGCTGAGCAGGATGTGTGTTGCTTGGGCCATAGTTCATCACATATAGATATACAGGAGGAATCCCCTTCTTTGGACCAGATATGTTGGCTCTAATCCTGCTGGTACTGAAGTCAGTTAGCAAAACACCCATTAACGTCAATAGGTGCTGATTCATGCCCAAGTTCCATTGACAGCATGCTGTACATCTTCAGATTCAGCAAAGACGCTGGACTCTGTGCAGTAAACTAAATCGGGTGGTGTTCATAGACCAGAATGAGAGAACTGCGGCCACATAATGTGCGTGTGCTGATTTTACCACCTCTGTTCTGAACAACTTTCTGAACTGTTTCACTGTGCCAATATATACTGGCTGGCACATTCTGAGGTCTTTACTAAAAAAATTTTTACAGGCAAACTTACATTGACTTCATTCAGCAGCAGTTGCTTGTGTAAGAACTAAGACCTCAGGATTTGTCCTAACTACTTGAGTAGCTTTAAAACCAAGGATGGTGTTTTCTTTGTATGGGCTTGAATCATTAGTTTATGGTAACATGTAAATAGGAAAAAAGACAGCCATACAAGGTATCGAAGGAAAATAAGTTTGTACTTAAAACAGTTAAAAAGCAATCGATCCTAGTGAGGATATCTTTCCCACAGTATTGGCAACTAAGATTGTCATCTGTCATCAGTGTGCCCCTGCACATGTTATCTGTCTGGCTGTTTTCTCGTTTCTCTATCAGTTCTGTCCCTTTTGCATAATTTGTTTCCTCTATCTCCACTTCAGCCTGCTTTCTTCCCAAAGGCTTATTTACTTGCTGTTTGTTTGCTTGTTTGTTTAATAACATGTCTTTACTGACAGGGCCGGCTCCAGGGTTTTGGCCGCCCCAAGCAGCCAAAAAAAAAAAGCCGTGATCGCGATCTGCGGCGGCAATTCAGCAGGAGGTCCTTCGCTCCGAGGTGGAGTGAGGGACCGTCCGCCGAATTGCCGCCGACTACCTGGACGTGCCGCCCCTCTCCGGAGCGGCCGCCCCAAGCACCTGCTTGACAAGCTGGTGCCTGGAGCCGGCCCTGTTTACTGAGGTATTTGAAGTATGAATTACAGAACGTTTAAGGTAGAAGATTTCGGTGTTGTTACAAAGAAACCACTTTGTTCTGTGTTCAAAGAAATAAGAACCGATGTGAAATAGCAAACGCAGTATAAAATATAGTGCTTTAAGCATAACTTTTTAAAACACAACTTGAATGAGGTTATAATTACACAGCTGTGAGTCATTTGTTACTGGATATTTTTCAAATGTAGGAAAGTGTCCATAGTCATAGAGAATGTGAGTACAGTGCCACGAGATCATTCGTTTACTCCATGTAATGAGCAATCATCTGAATGTTCCCTTTGGCACTCATGACTAAAGAACACAGCCGTCCACAATGTCTCAATTAGATTGTCTTTCAGAGTTACAGAAGAAATCAATTGTCTCTTTCTTTATATTTCTGATTGATGAGGATGTGAGCATGAGTTCCTTTTGCCATTAACTAGTGGTGTTTACAGTAATTTTGAAACTTCTCCCTCCCTTTGTTTCTTTTTAATTTATTGTTTTGCTTTAAGATTTCAGATATCGAGAGCAGAATTTCAGCTCTTAGTGTTGCAGGCTTGAACGTGGCTCCATGTGTTCACCTAACAAGAAAACGGGATCAAAAGCAAATGAACCAGGTGCCACAACATTATGCAGTTTTGCATGGGGGAAGACCCTGCTTCTTTCTGAATTAAAGCTTAGTAAAACCTATGTGTTTTTCACAGATGCAAACAATAGACACATCAAGACAGCAGAGGAGAAAGCTGCCAGCTCCACCGGTAAAAGGTGCACCAAAAAATTCATTCAACTCATTTTATTTATTATGTTCTCTTTCTGGTTAAACTATAGTGTACAGCCTAAAGAGGGCAGCAAAGGGGAATTAAATTACAAAGTGAATGCAATGAGAATAAACAGTACCCCAGAGCTATATGTACATAAAATCAAATACTGATTTGGCCCTTTGGAAGGTGCTTTCACTTGCTCATTTGATTTAATTTGGTGCCATACGTCAGTGGGGACAAGAGCAGAAGACTGGCTAAGGCAAATAAGAAATGATGACTGTGTGACCTGAAAAGATCCCCAAAAGGGTATTTTGGAGTGAGTGAAGGTTAGAATCAGCAGACAGAGTAATCACAGCGTGCTAGTTAGCAGAGATGGTGCTAGCCCATTGGGGGCCCCCCACATAACATGCAATAAAAAGCGAGTGGGGAGCCCCCTTGAGCTGCTCGGGGCCCTAAGCAATTGCATAGTCTGCTTATGCCAAGCACCAGCTCTGCTAGTTAGCGATGGACTAAGTTCAAAGCATTATTCTGGGATTAAGTGGAGCATGTGTCAGAAAGCCACCTGTGCCATAGACAACAAATCCCATTTCTTGTCTTAAAAATATTTCTAGTTTCTGGAGAGTCAATGCACTTGATTAGAATTTACTATATACACATGGAAAAGCGTAATTAAGGCCTGAATCCAGTAAAGCACTATTTAATAAAACATTTAAATGTGAGCTTAATTTAAGCACATCTTTAAGTGCCTTGCTGAATCCAGGCTGGAAGGCGTAGGAAGTTTTAGGGACAGGGTGAAGCTACCCAGCTAACATGCCTGTCTTTTATTTACCTTCATCCCAGTGTCATGCTTTCGCCATGCCACAAAATCATCTTAAGAAATGTATCTCTTGAATTCATCTATAAGTTTTGGCTTAGTGACATTATCTGGTGATTTAGTGTACACACATGAACATTTTCATGAGATAGATCTGTCTTTGCTTTCCTGTTTACTCCGAGTTTCCTAAGTTTTCAGTGTGTGCCTTCCAATTTTTTTAACTCTTCAGTGGTATGAAAATACCGATCTCAGACAACTTCTGGGCCCGATTCACCACTGCTTTACTCTAATCTTGTGGCAGTGTAACTCCAGTGATGGAAGTGAAGTCACTTGATAGTGAACCAGGCTGTCTCATAATTTCAAAAACCTCTCTTACAATATCACAGTCTTCCAGTTTCCATTTAAAGTAAACCTAACTTTCCTCAAAACTTAGATTTAAGTCTCTAAAGAGCTAGAAGATTTGCTTTTTCAAGTCTGATGCTTGGTTCAAGTTGTCACGTAAAGGATGTTCCCATTTTTTCCCTCCCAGGTGAAAATATTGATGCTTCTCCAGTTACTACTGTTAGAACATTTAACAGAAACTTTATGCTCCAAGGATCTCTAACACAAAGAACTAAAGAGAGAAAAAGCACTGCCAAGGACTTGATGGTAACATCTGAGAACAGACCTTGTTAAAACTGTTAAGAGCAGGAAATACGGAGAGAGGGATTACTCATTTAAGGCTAGATTGTCCCTAGCCCTTACTCACTTGCTCACGCTCTCCTGTCGACTCCCCTTGTACATCTCGTTCAGGTGGAGTACAGGAGTCAACCGGAGAGCGATCAGTGGTCGATTTAGTGGGTCTAGTGAAGACCCACTAAATCGACCGCCGATGCATCTATCGCCACGTGTCGAACCCCCTGTAAGTGTAGACAAGCCCTAGTCTAGTCTGTACCTACATTGATGTGCATAAACATGCTCCTACTGCAAGTTCTCTGGGTGTGTTTATAGAATTATAAATATAAACCATTTCAAAAAAATCCTGTCAAAATAGGCAGAATTAATAGACATTCGCTCCACAGCGCAAACTTGTGGGGCAGACCCTGACAGCAACAATGCCACAATATAATACAGTAGAAGACACTCTCCTCATATCTCAGCTGCTTACGGGGAAATGCTCAGCATAGGGATTTAGTGGGAGTTAAGTGGTGCATAAACCATGTACTTAGGGGTGAATTTCATCCCTGTGTGAACAAATGGGTCATTCACTGTACCCAGAAGATCAATAATCTCATGTTCTATCAGGCCAATGGGGGAACAAGTCCAAGAGCTGAAAACACCTTGCCCCAGACACCCAAATTGAGATCGTGGCCCCACTGAAGTCAATGAAAGTTTTGCTTTTACCTTTAGTGGGGCCAGGATTTCACCCACAGAATTCAAATCTAAGGACTGTCAAACAGAAGCAGCTCAGCTCAGCTCAACAATCAGGAGGGGACTTAAGTGGTATACAAGTCTTTGTACTGCATGGGGTATATTTCACCTGGTAATAAAACATTGATGGTCCCCTTTCATTTAAAAAGCCTTATCAGCATTTTTTGTCATTATGCAATCTTTTGCTAATGTTTTCCTTTTCTCTCCATTCTAGGAACCAACTATAGGATCTGCTGTAATGTACTAGACTTACAAAACTACTGCCAATAACACACTGCCTAAGGCTGTACACTATAGTGCCTTTATTTAACAGCCATTGTATATGTCCAATGGAAAACGGACCCTCGAGAACCCACAATGCCTCAGTAATAGGGCTTTGTTTGGATACCTCACTGAGAAAGCTGTCCAGCATTGTGGTCTGCTAATGGAAACTCTGCCTTAAAGTTCTCATGAGACTCCAGAAAGGATACTGAGTTTCATAAGCAAGGCTCCATGTTTTAAGATGCACTTTTTTTCCCCCATTGATTGTACTAAAGTATATTGTCTTTAAAATACAATATGTTTTTGTATACTTAATTTAACCATAATTGTTGGTCAATATTTCATGTGAAGAGAAAGGTAAAAAACAAACCTGTGATCCATATTTGCTGGCACGTTTGACACTGAGTTCAGTGTTTGTAGATCAGTCCCAATATCATTTTCTAAAAGACCCTCTGTATGCTGATAGAGCAACTTTGGCTGAGTTATTATTCTATCTCCAGACCTGGGCTGTTTGGATGCTAAAGGAGCAGTTTACATTTGCGATAGGCTGGCACATTCCACCATAGCATACTGTGGTGGGGGACACGCATGTATCATGTCTACAAAAAGATAAATTCTGAGTCATTATTTTGGCATCTGAAAACCATTGCAAAATCAACACCCTGCACCTCTATGCTTAGAAGCATAATCCATTTTAGGCAGTGTCCTAAATATTTGTTACACCCAGCAGGTGCATCTCTGAATTAATCCTTATCAAATGTTTAAGATTACAAAATTAGAATAAAACAATGCTGGGTGTTGGATATTGTTCAAAGAAAGTGCTTCCTGAAACGTATTTTTAAACATTAAGGGCTAGTTATAAAAGGCCCTTGTACAGGTGCTACGAGGGGGCACCTCACTTCCCTTCCCTTGCATGATGCGTGGAAGGGCCTTTCAGAATTGCAGTCCCTTTGCTCTGAGGAGCGCTGGGACTGCTCTCCCCTGTAACCTAAAGGAAGCAGAGAGGAGATGGGGCCATGGCTCGTCTCCCTTCCATGCTGACCCCCAGAGCAGGATCAGTGCACAGAGGGTGCTGAGCCGCACACCATACAGGAGTGTAGCAGCAGACATGCTCTCCCTGCATCCCAGAATGCCTCCTGAAGCTCCACCAGGGGTAGCACCTCTCTATACGACCACCTGTGCTGGTCATTACTTAATGAGCAGTACAGAACCCTAAGGAGCGATTAGTCTACTTAACCACAGAGGTTTAGAAATAAATTTTAAAATATGCAGTAATTTAAAAGTTGGGGACATTAAACAGCTTCTGACTGATTCAAAAAATGATGGCCAAAATTTTCAAATTTGGCTGCCTCAATTTAGGCACCTTGATCTACATTTAGGCTACCTGCAGAAGAGCAGCCTTGTTGTCAGAAATGCTGAACATTCGCAGCTCCCATCGTCTTCCTCGGTAATTGCGGATATTCAGCACTACTGAAAATTGGACATACACTGTAGGTAGCCATTTTGGCAGTTCGGGCCTGTATGTTGAAGAGATGGAATAGTTTTAGTTTAGCAAGGTCTGATCAGTAGGCTTGGATTCTGCACGACTAAAAGTAAGGAGCGGTTCAGATCCAGCTTCCATTTTGTCCAAGCCCACCCAGACCTGATCAGAGTAGCCAGGTAAATGGTTCCAGTATGAACTTCCCTCCTAATTTGAGGTCTCCTCACCAGTGCAATTGGATCATCCAATTATTTGAAAATAATTGGATCTAATTAGAAGTATAGGGCCATATCCCCTACTGGTGGAAATCCCCGTAGTTCCATTGATAGCAGTGGAATTATGGTGATTTACACCAGTTGAAGATCTAGCCCAGGATGGTCATTCTGGGCTAAATTATGCCTTGTGTTATTCTCTTGCAATCCTCATTATCTTCAATTTGTTTGCACAAGTATGAGGACAGAACTTGGTCCAGTATGTTTAAAAATAGTGTGTGTGTGTGTATATGTGTGTTTGTGTATATATACACATACACACACCGTTTAATGAAGGAGATTAAACAGAGTAGGATGCCTAATACATTTTTCAATCTCCATCCAGTAGACTGTTCTCTTATGTGTGTACAATACATTCCCAGATTTTTGTTTATGCAGGTATGCGTGTCATGAAATGTCACTAATAGTGGTTGGTTTACATATTTGTCTAATAATAAGCTAATACTGTGTATGTAATATCAATTCAGAAATGACTAATTTTAATAGATTAATGGCTTTTGTTCTGTTAGTGTGATTTAAAAAACAGACTTTGGAGTAGGATGTTTTCCATAAGAGGCATGAAAAGCAACTACTGTTGTTACAATGTTAAGTCTTCTTTGACAAAAATGTGTATTGTGTAGGTATTGCAAAACAAAAAACAAAACAAACCCTGCCCCACCCCGCTACTTGGTATTTGCATTTTTACAGATTTACTTGTGCCAAATATGTGCAAAGATTTAATTTACTGTTTTAAAAAAATCATAAAAACATGTTATAGCACACAAAGAATTATTTTGTCATCAAGTGATTTCAATCTTTAGTGTTAATATTTATATTTAGATTAATTTTTATAAATGAAAATATTTTAATGGTTAAAAAAATTAAGACTATATAATGATCTATTTGATTAAGTCTGAGTGAAAGTAAAGCTTGCCTTGTTGTTGTTATCTGCGTATTCACCAGGAATTATTGTTAAGAGAAATTATAAGAGTAAAAGCAATTTATGAAAAAGAATGCCTTTGCAGGGACCTGATTCATAAAGAAAAAGAAAAGAAATCTCCTGTTGTTTGGATTTCTGTGCACTGTACTCAGAAAAGGTGTAGACTGCACTGCCAGATATTTGAGTAGGATGGTAGGTGCTCCGCCCTGGCAGTATAGGAACTTGCTGTACATAAATGACCACTGCTCCGTTGGTTCTTTCACAGCTATACAGCTCAGAAAAGGACTGCAGTATTCCAGTGTGTGAAATGCACCAATTTAGCCAGGGAGGGATAGAGAGATGTACTCTTCCCTTCAGATTGATTTTAGAGGAAAAAGAAAAGAGCCCTTTAAGAAATGTATTACATCCTTCTAAACCATATGCACGTTGTGCTAAATACTGTCCCTCAACTGGCAAAATTCCCATAGATGTCAGTGGGGGTTTAAGAGCTGGGTTGGGTAACCTCAGGCTTTGGGCCTCTCTAAATACATACACCACCTTCATTTCCTATATTGCCCTGTTCTAATGTGTCCAATGCAAGTTTCATGCCATGTGGCAGGTTCCTTGCAGGTAGCACGTTCACTTTTATCTTTTTGCTCTGCGTTCTTGCCCCGTGCTTTTTTCTTGCAAGTGATAAATGTCCTAAACCCCAGGCTCTGTATTCCTCATGATTAGGAGAATCACTTTCCTAGCCCAGCTGGAATTGTGCAGTCTGAGGCTTTTACTGCTATGGCTTGCACTTTTCCATCTCTGTGCTGTGGGCAGTCAGTGTCACTACTCTTAGTGTGGATTACTGCATTGCCAAGCAGTGAGTACTTCGCATTTGGCCTGGTCCTTTGGAAAATGTGATGGAAATGTAGTCCCCCTCAGTGGTGCTCATATTCACAGTGCTGTGGATAACAAGCCTTCCTTCAAGTGAGTATCAACTGTCAGAATATGGCTGCAGAACGCTTTCACAGAAAAGATATATGTGCATACAAAAAACTGCCTCAACCAGCTAGCTGGAGATTTCCTCACAAAAGCAGAATCCCCTGGCTGGCCTAAAGCCTGAGAAGCAGTTATACAGTACACATCTTCTAGTCCCTTGGAATAGGGGATATGGGTGCAGCAGTGCTGAGTTCCAGTCAACCCTGATCACCAGAATGACTTACTGAGGGCTAGCAGCTGGTGCGACTCTAAGTTCTTCAGGCCTGGACCAGTGGCACAATCTTGATCATCTGGCCCAGTATATGCATCTTGTGTGGGAGTCCCAGGCCAAGTTGGGACTAGTTCTGGTATACTGTTTGCCCTACTCCATTGCAAAGTCCATGTGAGCTGTTGAATTTTCTCTCTGTAGTGGCACAGGAGCTACCAAGGCTGATAGTGGGTTTATTTTAACAGCCAAATGGATGATGACCATAGTGAGAACCCTGGATAATCCCAGCTGATTTCTGGCTCCATTCACATACCTGCCCACACTCACGATGCAGCTGTCTTAGCTTGGGTTGGTGGTTAGGCAGTTGGCAACTAGAATAGCACCAGGAACTGAACATTTCCATTATCTCTTGCATTGAGGCTACCTACCTCAGTGACGTGAAGGATCTATTTTAAGGATACGCACCCTTGCAGGCTAAAGGAACCAGAGTGCTTGCAAAAGGCCATTGAAAGGAGACACTGTTCCTTCAACAGGCCACAGTGGCCAAGATTTGATAAGATTATGTAGTACTATAATTATGTTTTTGATTAAGCTATTCAGAGGGTTTTGGTATAATGCTGACAAAACACCATATTACCTAAAAGCCTCCTATCTTTCTTAAGATAGGTGTGACAGAGGCTTCATTGGTGATGCTGGTAGATTGTCTTTTTATTGTTATTCAAGCAATAGCGGTGTCTAACAAGTCTGAATGATTGGCTTTAAAAACTGGAGTAGTCTTAGTTCATAAGCTATCCACACACTCCTAAAAAAGGTAACTGCAATAATATGGGACTCAGGTCACACCTCATATGAGCAACAAATAGTGGATATGCATAGCAATCAGTCTACAAACAAGCCCAGGGCTCAAATTCCTTCACACAACCTATTTATCAAACAACTGAGAAATACAATCAAGTCTGTAAAAATAAAATCACCTCCTGATGGCAGATAGCCCATTTTTCTGCCTCTGAATTAAGTTAGTTGGATAAATGAGGTGCTGTGATTAAGTCGACCACTGCTAATTTGGCAGTGATTCATGAAGACAACTAGACACACAAGCTTGGTCTATTATCTTCTGAAGTACTCTTCAGGACCCAAGTTTTAATTCTAGTCCATTAGCTAAATAGTGAATGGCTTTTTTTTTTTTTAAAACCATGAGCTACAACTTTTTTTATAATTTTATCTGATGTATTTTTGGTGGCAAGAGTGCTTATCAAGATTAAATGTGTATAATTATATGAGCAATGCTAATTAGAAGTTATTGAATTAACCAGTATAGTGATGGGTCACATCAATCAAGCAATCATGGATTATTTATGCAATCCAATATAATAGGATAATTTTTTAGGTATGATGCTTGAACAGTGACTTTTAGTTTTCCCACTTAAAAGATTAAACCACTACTATAAATCTTTTTCCATTTGCAGACCCCAAAAGATTTCAAATGGAGGTGTGTACCCCTTTGGAAATCTTAGTCATAGTCTGCAAACCCCTACAGGGTCTGTGGACCACAGATTAAAAACCACTGTTCTAGAGGGACATCAGCCAGCAGCTGTCTTTGGCCTCATTGTGCTGCTGAGGGTGATGTGCTATGATGGCACAAAGCTACCCTGACAGTTTAACTAGCCTGTGGCCTTTTAAACTCCCTGTCCTTCAGAAGGGAGGGTTTTTTGTTTTTGCAAAATAAGCAAGCAAAAAAACAACAAACACACAACCCCCACCTGTTTGTAGAGTACACCCAGTAAGATAGACATTTTAAAGGGCCAGGAATGTACAGTGTATAAATCCAAGCCATTAAACATGCATCACAAGCACATGTCAATGTGGTATGAAAATACTCAAAAAGCACTAACATTTCATATCTATTTAATATTGGTAAATACATTACTAAGAATGTGTGTTAGTTCAGCCAGCCATTGTTTACTTTTAACCAGCATTAACGAGTCGCTTTGAAACATGACAGAAAGGTTTGTTGTCAGGCTAGCATGGAGAGCATGTTTTATACAGAGTTGATTCCAAGCATGGAAATCTTTTGGTTCTTGCACAGATCTACCTTCACAGTGGCATTAGTTTACGGGGGGGAGGGAAGGAGGGAGGATGGATGCTTTGTTCAGGAGAGGAAGTGTGTGAACAGCATAGTTTGCATTTAGCATCACTTTTCAATTTGGATCTTTCCACCTGAGAGTGCTTCTTTTAAAAGGAGTTTACACAGGAAATAAACCAAAGATGTGGCAAAGGACATGTAAGCAAAAAGCAGAACCAAAACAGAGTTTGAACCTGTATGTGAGGAGGTGGGGAGGGGAGAGAGAGAGAATTCAATTCAAATGAGAGAAGCAACTGAGTTTAGTTACTGCGGTTGACAAGGAAATCACCACCAGCCATCGTCTTCTGCATCCAGTGCTTCTTGCTCCTGCAAAGCATTCACAACCAGCTCCAGGCTGCTGATCCCAGGCCTCAGGCTCTTGGGGCTGCTCCTTAGCTGCCTTTTCCCAAACCGGCCGATAGGTCGGACCCCACGTCCCACATACCAAAACGGATCAATCTCAGGACCTGGAAATCAAAGCATTCAGTAAAGAAGTGCACACTGAGCCACGATCAGTGAACAGCACTCAGCTTGGGAGCAACATCTACTGAACAATGCCAGAATATTCAAAGGGATAATACACCCTAAGAAAAACCCAGGGATAACTAAGTGCACCCCTATAGTCCTAAACATCAAACGTATATTGCTTTTAATGGAAATTCCCCATCTGTAGGGGCTGTAGGATAAGGGTTCAGGTATGGCCAAGATCTTTCCTATCAAAAAATTTCTCCATGTTTATGGGCCTCAACCTGCAGTTCTTACTCAGTCAAAGCTCCCATTGACTTCAGTAAGGGCCCGCAGTGGTTTCTCTGATGACAAAATGGCAGGCAAGTAATTTTCAGCACAAGTTGCCACTACATTTTTCTGGAAATCGTAGCCACCTGTCAGACGATGCTTTCTTTGGGTGTATGTGTCTGTACAAAGACAAGATTATTCAATTAAATGTCTACTGAAATAAGTCTAAAGCCTGATTTTGTTCTCCTCTTTAATACAGGCAAAGCCTCCTGGGAGCTTTGCCTTGATGTAGTGCTTACAATGCATAAAGCAAACTATTGACCTGCACTCAGACCTAGGTCTGCACCAACTTTTATCAACACTGCCTTGGAGGTGGAAAATCCACTGGGGAAGAAGGTTGTAGTTGTGGAAGCTAGCTCAGACCAGGGGATGCACTGACCTGTGTATCTGAGATGCCACTGCTTCCTGGACTCTTCTAGAGCCCTGATCAATTTTAAAACTGCCCTTCTTCAGCAGAAGTCTTGAAGAAGGGTGGCAATATTAGTGTTTGCCCTCAATTGAGGTAACCACCCCCACCCTTCCTCAGTCATAGGTTGCTAGGTCATTGTAAGATACATGATGAGCTGATGCCAAGAGGTGTTAAATTCACTTCGCCCCCCCACTGGAGCAAAACCCATTTTTGTTTTCGAGTCTTTTCCATCTAATGTCTAATTTACAGAAGATTGCATTCAACCAATCCTGCTAGATAAGCGGTCAGTGAAGACCTTCCACGTGAATGGAATTGCTTCCAAAATTGGCCCTCCTAAATCAAATGTGAAAAGCTGGTTTGAAAACATTTTTGATGGAAAAGTTTTTCAAGGAAATGCTGCTTTGTCGAAGTCAAAACATTTTGTGGGCGCATGTCAATTTCGATGGGAAAAAATTCAAAACTATTCAAAATCAAAATGGAGTATGTTTTGACTGTCATTTTGTTCTGATTAATTTTGTTTCAACTTAAATAACTTAATATAAAACATTACATGTTCCAACAAAAACTAAGTTTTGACATCAAAACATTTCAAAGGCAGTTTTGATGTTTCCAAGTTGCAATGTCACATTTTATTACATTAAATATTTTGAGATTTCAACTTTTTATCCTGGTTCAGAATAAAAACAAGTTTTGAAATTCCATTTTTGACCAGCTCTAATAAATATCTGAAGCTGCAGCTAATTGATTTTTGATCACAGATCAGTGTTTTTAAGCATGTACAAAAAAAAGAACAGTTGAGCTGTATAACTGTGATGTTTATGGAGGAGCTGCATTAGAAAAGCCTTTGTCAAGAGACATGGCTGAAGAGTATTCTGGTTCTCATAAGAAGGTTCAGAAATACATTGAGCTGCAGTGTGGGTGGGAATTAAAGCAAACGCCTTCAAAGAGCTAACCCACCCTTTGCTAATGAAATTCTTTTTATGGAGATCACATTTTTACATGGCTCACTTGTGCTTCGTTTAATTTGCAGGATTTTTTTCAAGCTCGGAATTCTTTTTAATTGTATCAGGAGAGTGGCAAGGTTTAGTTAGTGCAAACATTCTGGGGGGGGGGGGGGGAGAAATCTATAACTGTTTTGATGAAGACACCACCAGAACCATAATGATGGGGCTGATATTCCAGGAATATCATAGAAATGTCAAGATTGAGAGTGATAAATTTCAAAAACATTTCCTAGTTTATACAGATATCTCCAGGACCTGAAGTAAGGCTGCAGAATCTAGGCTGGAGCATTTTGGTTCTTTAACAAGAAAGAGAGAAGAGCAAAAAATTCCCTTCCATGTTGGCCACAAGTTGCTCCATAAATAGAAAGTACTTTTCATAAAGATGTGTGGTGTAAATGGGATTAGAGACCTCAATTTTGGAGTGCTCAACTTGACACCTTAAAGGGGCCTGATTTTCAGGCTCTGCTGAGCATCCACCTTCTGAACATCAGACCCTTTACATTGTCTCAAGTGGGCACCCAAATACCGAGGCTCCCAAAATCTCCAGTCATTTTTTAAAATGTAGAGAACATACTGTGGCAGGAGCCCATTCCAGTCACTCATCCCACTTATGGCCAGCCCCCTCCCCGACCACAGAGTCCTGTGGTCACACAGGACCCACTGAGGGGATTCTGAGGGGCAGGGGGGAAGAAGGGTGCATACCTAGGAGCCAATATTCCCCTTCCATTACTTTTTGCTCCCTTCTACCCATGATCGTGGAGGGAATTTGTCTCAAAGCTGCTTGTTGTCAGGATGGCCCCTCTGATTAAATGTGGCCCAGTATAGAAAGAGATAATGCCCTTTATCTAGCCTGGCATCAAAGCACTACACTAACTTAAATATTGGAAGGGAATTCTCCCTCCTGCATTAGATTCCATTTTTAAAATTCTGTGACAGAAGTTTTATTTGACTCAGAGCATGTAAGGAAAGACCAGCGTTTCTCAAACTGGGGTCACCACTTGTGTAGGGAAAGCCCCTGGCGGGCCGGGCCGGTTTGTTAACCTGCCCCGTCCGCAGGCCCGGCCAATCGCGGCTCCCACTGGCTGCAGGCCAATGGGAGCTGCTGGAAGCAGCAGCCAGTAAGTCCCTCGGCCCGCACCGCGGCCAGCAGCGGCGAACCGCGGCCAGTGGGAGCCACAATCGGCCGGACCTGCGGACAGGGCAGGTAAACAAACTGGCCCTGCCTGCCAGGGGCTTTTCCTACACAAGCGGCAACCCCAGTTTGAGAAACACTGAAATAGACCCTCATCCCATTCACACTAAGTAGTAATGCCCCCAGGATGCCCTACTACATCTTTCTAACAGTATATACACATCTGACAGGACTTTCCATGAGACCCACAACCTGAATCGGATTTCACCCATGCATATTTGAGTCTGGTATCACTCGGTGGAAGCCAGTGGAGTTACACTGTGTCAAATCAGTGCGAGAGGAGAATCTGACTGGCAGTGGCCAGTATGGGAACAAAATAAAATGATCATTTGAAAAAAGCCAGAAAGTCAGTGCTTACTTCTGTTGTCTATCTGATGTTTAAACGATCTGCGCTGGCCTGACGTAAAGCTGAGTGATACCAACAGCACCAACATGTAGACTGTGATCCGCTTTAAATGCTTGGGCTGAGGTGAACAGTGAGAGCGATGAGACCCCGCCACTGCATGCCACATGATGGATCAACTGTAAGGCCACTGGGAGAAGAGAAGGGAACATGGTATAAACTACACGATTAATAAAAAAAACATTCCATCAGTTTTGAAAAAAGATCTATAGATATAGATGACGACAGTTGATAACTAGGGCTGTTTATTATACAGCTATTCATCTAACAGCTATTTAAAATCTCAAAATAAAGTGAAATATTGATCCATGGTCTAATCCACAGAGCAGGAAACCACGATGTTCCCAGTGCTGCCACTGATTTGCCATGTGACCTTAGGCAGCTCACTCAGGGCACATCTTCACTACCCGCTGGATCGGCGGGTAGCAATCGATCTATTGGGGATTGACTTATTGCGTCTAGTCGAGAGGCAATAAAATCAATCCCCGATGGCTCTGCCGTCGACTCCGGAAATCCACCACGGCAAGAGGCGGAAGCAGAGTCGACGGCGGCGCAGCCGCGGTCGACTTGCCGCCGTCCTCACAGCCAGGTAAGTCGACCTAAAATATGTAACTTCAGCTACGCTATTCACGTAGCTGAAGTTGCGTATCTTAGGTCGACTCCCCCCTCCCCCCCATAGTGTAGACCTAGCCTTAGTCTCCCGCAGCTTCCTTGCCTGGACAATGGGTGTAACATTTACCTCCCTCAGAGGTGTTGAGAACTAGTCAGTCAAAGACTGTAAGGCGCTTCAGAGATGCAGTGTGCTGTAGTAGGCAAGCACTTGCTGTATGAAGTATACTTTAACAAATACCCATTTTATTGTTTTCCATCATTCCTTTGCACAAAGATGCTAATATTAAATGTTAAGTATCAGGGTATTTTTACTGCCCTAAATAGGACTAAATTCCCATAAATGATGAGAATACATTCTAGATCTCTCTCTAGTGCTAAGTACATGCATCCGTGTGTATCTGAATGTTGCTGTGCAAATTTCACTCTGTTTTTATCTTCTGAACTTGTAGCATTTATAAAGGACATTTTTAGATTTTAATTAAAATTTGGTTTCTCAACTAATTCTTCTGTTTAGAAGATAAAGCTTTCCAGGTGCCAACTTGTGGTTTGTTAAATGAAACAGTTTCCACTGATTGATCCTGCAGTCCTTAGTTCTCCAGGGCACTGTTGGGAATCTTACCTGAGGACTGTTGGATGAGTTCTACAGACATCAAGGGTCAAAAACTGGGCAGTAATGGGGAGTCTAGAAGTTAGGATCTAGACCATAAGAAATTCTGGGTTCTGTTCCAAGCACTGACATTCACTCATTCTGAGATCTTGGGCAAGTCACTTAGGCCCAGATCCTCAAAAGGTACTTAGGTTCCTAACTCCCATTGATTTCAATGGGAGTTAAGTGCCTACATATCTCTGAAGATCTGAGACTTAATCTTTCCATAACTCAGTTCTCCTGTCTGTGAAGCAAGGATAATATCTACTTTATAGGGGTGTAGTAAAGTTTAGTTTAACACCAAGGGCTTGATCCCACATCCATTAAACTCCATGAGAGTATTTCTATTAACTCCAATAAGTATACAATTGGGCCCTAAGATTTTCAAATTCAAGGTGCTATCAAAGTGCAAAGCATAATATGCAGTGCACTAAACTAATGCTCATTGTCTGAAGCACTTGAGCATTTCTATTCACTTTGTTTAGTAAAATATCTGTACAGTCAAAGGCTTGTCCTCCAAATGTAGTTTTACTTTTACACTGCTGGTTATTTAAGACTGAATGAGAAACAAGCATATAACAGTTTAGAGAAGGAGTGTTTTAATGGGTATTTTAAACAACCTTTAATTTTTAGCTGCATAATTCTTACTGTAATCAATAGATTTACTTCTCATCCAGCCAAATCCCTCTAAAACTAGTAGAGCAAATGTGTTTAGAAATATCCTAACTCTTCCTGAGCATTAGACTTTGTGGGGCAAATTCTGCTGTCACTTACTTACATCTGTGGAGTGACTCCAGAAGTAGTGAAACCAGAATCTGGATCCCAAATGTCACATTACAAGGAGTCTCTCTCTCTCTCTCTTATTCCATGACATTACTAAAGCAAATATTCTTGGGGACTAACAACTGTCTGGCTTGTACATCTTTATCAGCCTCCTCGCAGTCATTTATTCCCAGAGAAGTCCCTGCATTGAGGTCATTATTGCTATAAAACGAAAAAATATTTTAAAAAGCAAAGGCATTTATACTTGTCTGCCTAATGCAAGTTTTTTAGCATAGTTCTATAGAATTAATGTCTTGAGTCAAGCAGCCTGACTGGCTAATCCTAATCAGGACAGGATCCTAGTGAAGTGCATTTCTTCCACACATTTCTCTGTAGTTACTTCTATGACCCCCATAACCAAGTGACAGCACCTCAGAATACTAGTTCATTTATCCCTGGGAGGAAGGGAAGTAATAACCCCATTTTACAGATGGGGATACTGAAGCACAGAAAGACTACTGACTTGATCCTGCAAGGTGCAGAGCACACAACTCCCAGCGAGTTCAGTGGGAAATACGTTCCTTCAACAAGGTCACGCTTAGCACCTTGCAGGATCGAGCACTAAGTGCTTGCCCAAGTGAGTCTGTGGTAGAACTAGAAAAAAAAAAATGAACCCAGAGCTCTCTAGTCCCACCCATGCCTTAGCCCAAAGCTCATCTTCCTCCTAAAATAAACGGAGTGAACTGTTCGTCTTTAAATCCAACCAGGATTATTAGTTACTGAGGAGAGAAATCATGTCACCCCTGAGTATTTCATTACTGATGTTGGCAGGCCAGCGGGAACAGACCCCATTGCTCTGCTCCGTGACATGCCTAAATCTCCTGGAGCAAAAGTAAACGAGTCTGGAGGAAATAGTTCCAGTGAACCACACGATCAAATATCCGCTGCAGCGCTGGCGGATTCTGTTACACCCCGACACTGACTGAGCTGGGGGATCGCTGCGGTTTCTTTAATACATTTCCTTCCTTCTCCAAAGGGGGAGAAAGCTAGTGACAGGAAGGGAACGGCGGCTGCTTGTGGGTGCCCTGCACAAGCTCCCCACCGGAGTCTGGCAGCAACACGCAACTGCCTAGAAACCTCGTTCAGAGGGTAGATCTTGACGTCTGAATGGGGAGAAGTTACTGGGAGTTAGTTTACGTTACACAGTCTCATACTGTTACAGGAACGTGAATCTGAAGAGCTCAGGGCCCGATCCCGCAGCTACCGAAGTCAATGGCAACACTCCTCGCCTCCGATTTCAGCGGGGGCAGGATCAAGTCCTTAAAGCGTTTTACAAACGTTAAACTCCAATCCCCCCCCCCCCGCAGAAGGCAGGGCTCAGCCCCACTTTACATGTGGGGAAACTGAGGCAGGGGGCAGCTAGGGTCTTGCCCGAGTCCCTGGCAGAGTCGGGGATCGAGCCAGGAACACCTCCCACTTCTGCCCCAGATCTGCCTTCACTCGGACACCTGCTTCTGACCAGCCTTTACACTCGCTCGCCTGGCCCAGCAAATCCCCATTGAAACCGGAGCTGCCTCCCCCACGCCGCTGCGCTCCAGTTTTGTCCCTCAGCCAAGGGCGAGCTGAGCCCGTGGCTGAAGCTGCTTCACTCACCTGTCCCCCAGGGGCTGCTGCTCCGTAAGTAGCTGCTGCTCCACAGGGAAACCAGTCCCGGAGCTGGGGTGCAGCCGGGCCTTTTATAGCTGGGGGCTCGGGCTGGAGAGAGGGAGGGGAGAGCCGAGGGGGCGTCAGCCGCGTGGCCGGGCACCATTTCAGTCAGCCGGAGCAAGAGAGTAGTTCGTGTGGCTCCATTAGCCCGGCACCGATCAATGGGGCAGAGCTGGGGGCGGTGTTAATGCAGCGCACGGCTGGGGGCGCTTCGTCAGGCTGATGGAGCAGCTGCTAGGCGCCCCATGACTAAGGAGGAGGCTACTGGGGCGGGGTGGTGGGCTCAGCCTTAGCCCCCCCACTGCTGGCTCTCAGGGGCTAAAGCAGCAGGTGAGCTCCTCCCACCACCTAAGGTGGGTGCCTGAGAAGCACTTCGCAGGTGGGGAAAAACCTGCCTATGCTGGAGAGAGGCAGGGGAGCAGCCTCCAGCCCGAAGTGCTCGCCCATGCCCAGGGTCACACAGCGGTGGGGAAACTGCCAGGGCAGGGGGCTGGGACAGTGGTGCAGAGCCGCCCCCCTTCTTGCGTGCCGCTGTTTGTCCTTTCTGCGGGACGCTGCTCTGACGCGGTTTGCGCCCCTTACCCACATTAGGGAGAGGAAGCGTTAATAAGCCCAGCTGACTTCCTACCAGTGATCAGCAACCACCACGCTGCGCCGATCTCCCCCGTTCATCAGTGGCTATTCACTCACCTGTGCGTGGTTAATAACCTTTAATAGCCTGGGGGACACAGGTCGTATCCCAGGGCGGAGCCCGGAGCAGCGCTTACACACCCGCTGAACTTTAATGCCTGAAACTGACAACTCCCCACTCCTTAGAGTTAAGCATACGCTTTTGGGCTTTAAGTCAACAAAATCCTGAAGTGACTTGTTAAGGCAATTCCTAGGCAGCAAAGTACTTATTCAAAAAAAAAAAAAAAATTAAGCATGTGCTTAAATGCGTTGCTGGATCAGCTGATTCCATCAATCATTTCTCCAGTGAGGCCATTATAACTGTGATTTCTTGATTAAACTGGTATGAGATTGTCCTCACGGCAGTAGTCTGGGTGGTGTTAGGGTTCTTTCCATTTATTTAAGTAAGCCTGTATTTGATTTCAAAACTGAAGTTTTACATACAACTCTCTGAACAGGGTTTGAACAGGCAGGTATTTCCTTGATAATTCGTGGTCACCTGGTGATGCTGAAACTGGTAAGTTTTTATACAAGTGTCTGCAGGCCATTACTAAGCCCAGGGCCTGTTGCTAAAAATGTTTGCAGTTAAAAAGATGGTCTAATTTGGCATTTTGCTAGCTGTGAGCTTTACAGCCAGAAGAAATTTTAATCCCACACCTGAAATTCTTAGTTCTATTGTGAATATGTGCAGAGGAGTGGAGTAATTGCTATTCATTTATTAAAGTGGAATTATATGTCTATACATGTACACACAGAGAGCCAGAGATCTGTGATTTAGTTGTGCTCTAAAAATGCTTCAAAGTTGGTCAGTTCAGTAAATAGAACAACTGAATACAGTAACTAGTTTTTAGCCAGGAGGAATGCTTTAACACAAGGGGAAAAGCATCACATTTGCTAAGTACTGAAATCCATGGTACATTAAAGAGAAGTTTTCCATAGCAGATACATATGAAGAAAACAAGTGTTTTTGTTGCATTTTGCTGCCTATATTAAAAGATGTAATTTTGACTCTCAGAGGTTCCTACTGTGACATGAGACCGGATATAATCTGACACAGGGAAAATACTATGTGTCAGTTCATTTCACCAACTTCAATCAAGATGTTAAATCAATTAATATTTTTCCCATATAGCAGAGTTGCTTCTGTGACGGGTTGGATCACAGAAACCCCTTTGGGACTGCCACCTGATGTGCCATCTAGACTGCCTCTGAGCCTGTTTTCCCTGCCAGCTTGGGACTTCAGTACCTTGCCTTGTTTGAGCCAGACACACTTGCCTGCTGCAAACACAGATCCAAGTTTGAACCATGTCCCCCAAAAGTTGCAGGCTTAACTGAAAACAGCTTAAGAAGAGTTCCTGTCTCCAGCACTCAGATACCCAGCTCCCAATGGGGTCCAAACCCCAAATAAATCCATTCATAAACTCATAAATTGTTTGCCCTCTATAACACTGGTAGAGAGATATGCACAGCTGTTTGCCCCCCTCAGGTATTAATATATACTCTGGGTTAATTAATAAGTAAAAAGTTATTTTTATTAAATACAAAAAGTATGATTTAAGTGGTTCCAAGTAATAACAGAGAGAACAAAGTAAATTACCAAACAAAATAAAATAAAACACGCAAGTGTAAGCCTAATGCAGCAGGAAACTAAATGCAGCCAAATCTCACCCTCAGAGATGTTCCAATAAGCTTCTTTGACAGACTAGCCACTTTCTAGTCTGGGCCCAATCCTTTCCCCGGTACAGTCCTTGTTCCAGCTCAGGTGGTGGCTAGGGGATTTCTCATGACTGCACCCCCCTTTGTTCTGTTCCACCCCCTTATATAGGTTTTGCACAAGGCGGGAATTCTTTGTCCCTCTCTGGGTTCCCACCCCTCCTTCTAAATGGAAAAGCACTAGGTTAAAGATGGATTCCAGTTCAGATCACATATCACCATAGGTGCCAGGTTTGGTGGTGCCCAGAACGGGTCCAAGCAGAGCCGTCCCGTCCATAGAATGGACCGGGACAACTGCCCCGGGCCCTGTGCTTTGGGGACGCAGGGTCTAGGGCAGCCTGGCGCTGGCAGTAGCAAGCGACCTGGCTCCAGCCCGCCCTGCTCCACCGGCTTCCGGCATCACTCAGGGGAGGGGGCGGAAGCCGGAAAGAGGTGGGGCGGGGCTGGGGGAAGGGGTGGAATGGGGGCAGGGTGGAGGTGGAGCAGGGGTGGGAAGGAGCAGAGTGGGCTGGGGCCAGGTCGCTCGCTGCTGCTGGCGCCAGGCCCCCCACTAATTCCCCAGGCTGCCCTGGACCCTGCATCACCCTGAAGCGTGGGGCCCCCGCAAAGCATGGGGCCTGGGGCAGTTGCCCCAGTCCACCCTATGGACAGGAGGGCTCTGAAAATAAGCCCAAACATTGGTGGAGTCGGGCCCACATTCCTGAATATTGGTGGAGCACGGGTACCACGGGCCCATATAACTCACCGCCTATGCATGTCACTCTAAGACTTCATTACCCACTTGCCAGCACACACGTATACAGGAAGACTTACAAGTAAACAGCCATTTACTTTAATGGGAGCCACCAATATTCCAAGCTACCATTAACGGACCACACTTTGCATAATTACAATAGGCCCTCAGAGTTATATTTCATATTTCTAGTTTCAGATACAAGAATGATACATTTATACAGATTGGATGTCCACACTCAGATTATAAGCTTTGTAATGATACCTTACGAGAGACCTTTTGCATGAAGCATATTCCAGTTACATTATATTCACACTCATTAGCGTATTTTCATCAAATCATATGGAGTGCAACGTCACAGCTCCTTTCTCCAGTGCTATGATATTTAAAGAGTTCACAAAAAATGCTCTTTGTGACACTGCACCCCATATTCTTCAGTGACATTATTATGATATGGTGATAGAATAATTATTTTATGCAAGATACGTCACGTGAGGTGTCATTGGAAAAGTTATGATTTGCTGAACGTGATTACCCTATTGGTATGCATGTATCATTTCTGCATCTGAAGTTATAAATACTGACTATGTATCTGTATTTCAAACGTAGTTATAACTGGGTAACGCCCACTAGACAAGATGCTTTCAGTCTAGATAGCTGGTTGGGAAGGGCCTATTTAGGGCAATGAGCCATTAGGGAGAACAATAAGCCTTAGGAGAAGCTTATCCCCACCTGTGAGCCTTCCTGAGAACACTCCAGACAGCCTGTAAGTAATGGCTGCTATGACTCTACAAGGACATGTGACCAGGCCACATGATGCTGGACTCCATCTTGGGATGTCGGTATTTTTCCACAGACTGGTCTGGGAACCAAGCTTTGGAACAAATGGTTCTTGCCCTATGCAAAAGCTATATAAGGCAGGGAGTGATATCAACTGTTGTTCTTCACTCCCCTGCAAGAAAATACGTGAGGAACAGAGACTGAAGTGGGGAAAGTGCTGGACCAAGGCTCAAGGGATTTCTAGCCTGTGAAAGAAACACCTGGGGATTCCAACCTGTTCAGCTTGTCCCTTATGAATCTGCAGCCTGCTTGTATCATCTCTTAGGGTGAGAATCTGCTAATTCATATCCAATCTATTAAGTATATTAAGCTTAGATTGTGTTTATTTGCTAGGTAGTGTGCCTTGATCTGTTGGCTATCACTTAAAATCTATATTTTGTAGTTAAAGCAAAAACAAGTTTATTATCTAAACCAGCGAATTGGAGTGAAGTGTATGGGAAGTATAGCTCCAGGGGCAAAGGCAATTGCATATTCCTCTCCACATTGAGAGAGGGGGCAAAGTTTATGAGCTTAAGCTGTACAGTTCCCTGTGTAGCGCAAGCCGGTATAATTTTGGGTTTATACTCCAGAGGGGTGTGTGCCTGGGGAACTGGGAGTTGCTTTGGCTGTAGCCTTTCTATGCAGGGGCTGGTCAGAGAGCCTGCAAGTAACTGCAGCTGGGTTTGTCCTTCCCTGTATGAATGCTGGTGAAAGTGCAGTCTGGGGGGCTTTGCAGCTTGTCACAGAAGTACAGTGTGAGAGGGAGCCCAGGCTGGTGGGTCAGGGGCCTCAGTAGTACCCCAATTCTACGTGGTGCCCTGGGGTGAACTTGTCACACTCCTCATCTAAAGTTTAAGATTTTATTCAGCTTAAGATCACATTGACAAAATATTAAAAACACTTCAAGTCCACAACAGAGTACTACAGCCCTTTCTAAACATGACTCAGTCAATAATGCATACACATGCTCTCCTATACTACCTATTTTTAGAGCACTAACTTTGAACCTCAAATTACGGGGAAAATATTTCCTACCAAAAAAAAAAAATCAATGTATTCAAGAGCCAGTATCTACTCTTCACTCTTGCTAATTGTGTATGTTCATGCTAAGAATCCACTTCTTGGTTTTTACCAACAAAGAGGACAAACCAAACAC